TGTTTGTATATTTTTTGTTTTTGTAAAATATTGTTGATTTTGCATTTTTTTTTGCAGCTGTGATTTGTTATTTTTAGCAACAGATTCTTAATCGACTATGCTCTGGTAGTCGATTAAGGTTGATCAACTCGAATTTTATTTTATTTTTTTGGATTTTTTGTTTATTGATTACAATTGTATAAATCAATTATAATGTTCTTATATTTTTTGTTTTTGTAAAGTATAGTTAATTTTGCATTTTTTTAGTTGTGATTTGTTATTTTTAGTAGCATGTTCGTAATCGACTATGCTTCATCATTACCTTAATCGACTATGCTTCATAGTCGATTAATAAAACTGATACAAAAAAGAAAAAAACAAAAAAAAAACGGAAAAGAAAACGGAAAAAAAATAAAAAAATAAAAAATCGTTGATGACCAGCGCGTGATGCAGTGATGATATGGCGGGCGGGAAAAAATTGGAAAAAATAATGGCTGAAAATGGTTGTGGGCTTTTCTCAAATGGAGAGAAATATTTTGGGCCTCTCTCCATAAAAGAAGTAATGAAGGAATTTCTTCAAAGAGCCCCTTAATATGAAGGATGTAAGTGAATGGACAAATTTACCCCTAACAATGTCACGTGCAATGCACATGCTTTTACATTAACACTATAAAATTTATTTTGCACTTCTAAAGGTCTAAAGAATTGTTGTAGAATTAAAATTAGAGTTTTAAAGAGAGTGTATATTATTCTTCTGTAATATTAACACTAAAAAAATATTTGGCATTTCTAAATTTGTACGTTTTAATTAAAATTTGTTGTTCCGGTCGCGATATTGCAGCGATGTTACAATGGAACTGGAACAAGTTTTCGCGACAGTGTCCAACGACGTTCCGACAAACCATAGTTGGGCAAGTGATGCTTATTTTAATGTTGATTCGACTTCGAATTTGATTGTTGCTTAGGTGAATTTCGGGTTGGGTTTTCCGATGGATTTGTTGCAGCGTTGGGTTTTTCCTATTGTTCAGATTTATGGTGGCAGACATAATTTTTGGCCTGGGGTGGGTTTGGGAGGTAGTGGACGAAGAGAAGAAGATGACAATTTTCCTTTTTTTTTTTCATTGTTTTTTTCTTTTTATTAATTTCAATTATTAGTTTATATTTAATATATATAGAATGTAAGTGAAGGGACACATTTACTCTTGGAAATTAAATATCATGTGCAACATACGTTTTTTAACATTCTTGTCAAAATTGTCGGAAATTCAGTTTAACGGACACCGTGAAACGAATTAACTTTACTCTTTAATCACTTTTAATTAAATTGTTTTAGTGTTTTTCTATCATTTTTTTTTTTGCTATAATCCAAATATATTTCTTTTTTCTTAATTTGTTCGCTATTATAAATTAAAAGTGACAACTAATATGTGAAGGGGGAGTATGTAATTATATTTTCTTTTACAATATTCAATTCCAACATTCTTAACTTATATGAACGTAAATTATATGAAAGATGATAACTTCAATGAAGTTTCATTCATTTATGATATGATATACATATATATAGTATTTATATATGAAATGTTATTTTAACAATATATTGACTTTTTCAAAGTTTATATCATATCAACAATATGTTATGAAATAAAATATTAAAATATATTCATATAAATGTCTTCTTTAATAATATATTTATATGAAATGTCTTTTTTAACAATATATTGACTTTCTTCAGCAGTTGAACCACTTATTTTTTTTTTTGGGATTATTATGGAAAACTCCCTCATATACATTGTCTCATTAAACTAGATCTTTTTTTTTTTTCCTCCCTTTTTGAGATAAATGCAATTGCATTTTATTTAGTAGATTATATTATTAATAACCTATTTTACCCTTTCTCAAAATTTTAACCTAATTAAATCCTCATAACCCGTAGCTCTCTTTTCTCCTATCTCCCTCTTTTCTCCACAACCCACTCCCACATCCACACCCACACCCTCGCAGCCCCACCGGACGACCACACCCTTTCATCGAAGACCACACCCTCATCGACCTCTTCATCCTCTGGTATGAGGATCTGTGCTCTTTTATATTTTATATTATGTATTATATATATGAAAGAGTTTTTTATGGCCGATACACACACTCATCATTATTGCAAAATCCCGTAACGTTATAATTTCTTGATGATGTTCTTTAATTTAATTTGACTATATGTATTTTCTGGTATGGTGGAAAATCAAAATTAGAAAAGTCTAATTTTGATTTTGTAAAATTGAAGATTAAAAATGAAATTAATAATTGGGCTTCTTCTACTACGGCCAGGCATCTATTTGACTCATTTATTACCATTTTTTAATAATATAAAACCTAAATGTTTACTTAATTAATCACGGCTAGTATAAAACCTCAATCGCGACTAATTATGTTATTTACAGACCGAGGTCAAAGGGAATAAATAATTAGGGTTTTGGTCTTGAAAGAGTTATTTTAAATTCGATAGTGAGTGACCACAAGTATATATAGACAAAAAAATTGGAATATCTTCAACTGGTTACGGGGTTGTAAGTTGGTGGAATATTTTAGGAACGAGTACTGACAATTTCAGGTGCAGGTTCGCTACCCTAACGAGCTCGGATTAAGAGTGCAGACCCTGGAAATGAGGAATTTTGCTTTTTGGTGTAATAAAAGTTGGAATATCGAAACCGGTAAAGCATGATTGGGATATCTTGCTTTGGAATTAATTTTAGCATTTACTATCAAATTACATAATAAACGGGTACATAAAGTGGTTTTCATGTTTATATAGATGTTTTATACAGAGTGGTTTTCATGTTTATATAGTTGTTTATACGGAGTGGTTTTCATAATGTCAGGCTTTGTCTTTGATAAATTTATAGTGGTTTTCAACAATTTTATAATGGTTATATAACTGTATATACATAGTGGTTTTTATATTGACATAGTTGTTATGCATAGTGGTTTTCAAGTTTAAATAGTCGTTTTACAAAGTGGTTTTCATGTTATATAGTTGTTATACATAGTGGTTTTCATGTTTATATAAGTGTTTATACAAAGTGGTTTTCATGTTTATATAGAGTGATTTTTATTAAAAAAACTGGAAAGGAAAAAAAAACCATTTAAAAAAAATTGAAATTAAGAAAAGAAAAACCATGAAAAAACAAAAATAAAAATAAAACCATTTTTTTAAATTAAAATAAAAAACATGAAAAATATAAATAAGAAAAAAATAAATGAAAATAAAAAACCGAAAATAAAAAAAAATAATTACAATTTTTTTATAAATCGAAATAAAAAAAAAACCATTAAACAAAATAAAAAAGAGAAGGAAAAAAAACTGAATTGACGTGATGAGGGAAATAATTTTTGGAGAAGATTTGAGTGTAGATTATGAGTATTATTTTTTTAAAATTAAATAATTATACTAATTAATAGTTAATAGGGGCATATATGGTTTTTCAGGCCCATTGAATTTATCTCAAATATCAAATATCATTTATAGAGAAAGGATTTATCAAGAATTAAAATCCTAATGAAGGGTGTTTGGCATATTGCCCCTTTTTTTTTAAGGTTTTTTTTCGTAACAAAAACACAGTTCACTATTCTTCCTCTCTTGAAGTCTTCCATATTGAGTAATGTGCAGTCTTGACGTCAATGTGTTCACACATCAAATAGTAATACTAGTACAATACTAGTGGTGAAACTTGTAATAGAATATTCAATTTCTTTCAATTTCGATTTGAAAGTATCCGATTTTGAAACAAGTATGTTCATTAAGAATTCTCAATTCAATTTCTTTTAGATAGAATTGGAATATATACGAAATTCCGATTTTAGAACCAAATTTAAAATTTAAATATAATTTAAAAAATTCTAATTATATTTGAAGCCTTGCACTTGATTTTTTTTTTTTTTTTTTTTTGTTTCTTTTGTTTTTTTGTTTTTTTTTTACAGTTTATACGGCTTTAAAATTATTTATTGTGATGTATGTAGCTCATATGTTCTTCATATTTTACTCCGGCTAATACGTGTGACATTTGGTAAAGAACAATATAAAATCACAAGAATACACACCATCTACGGATGCAGCATCGAAGAAACTTGACAAGAAAATGCTAAAATTAAAAAAAGTTGGAAAAAGCATGTTCTACGTACGAATCGGTAATAATAAATAAAATGGTAAATTACACCACTCCCTTGAGATATAGTCAATTTACGAAAAAACCCCTCTTGTTTGGATAATTACATCTACCCCCCTCAACTATGATTTTTTCTTACACTTCCACCCTTATGGTGTCAAATTCAATATAATCATCTAGATTTCCTGGAATGTACTCTAGTTTGTACTCATTTTGTGTAAACATACAATTTCTGATGCATCACAATATGATACATATAAGCCAAAAAACACATATTATGATCATCTTTCTTCAAAATGTGGAGTTCGAATGTGATAAAACGGGTAGAAAAATGATAATATTTCATATAATCTAGAAGATTTCACTAAATTTTATAGTTGAGGGGTGGTTGTAATTACCCAAACAGGAGGGGGATTTTCGTAATTTGACCATACCTCCGGGGTGGTTGTAATTTACCCTAAATAAAATCATAAATATAAAAACTATAAAAATACCAAAATATCCCTATGTTATTTCAAAATATATTTGATAACTAGTTGGATTTACTAATTATGTTGCTTTGCTAGGTCGCATGCATGCTTATTTATGCTTATTATTAATTAAAGACAGTTAGAAGTTGGCTAATATATTTAGATGCCAACTACTAACTGTATGAAGTCATTGAAAATGAAAAGATGTAACAATATATAATAATAATATACAGATGTAGAATGGGTCAGCGCAAGGCAGTTGTACCTTCTCATTCCTTGGAAAGTAATTAAGTCACCATTAGAGTATTAATTATGAAATTCATCACTCCGATCAATGATCATTTCTCTCCAAAAAAAAGAAAAAAAAAATAAAATAAAAAAAAACTGAACAATGAATCTGTATTCACTTCCAACCTGTGTGCTGTTTCTCTTCCTTGTCATCAAATTCACAGCTGCTATTACTATTAGTAGTAATCCAACTCACTTAACACGTGATGTTTCGATTAATTGCGGTTCCGTAGGAAATTCTGCATCAAATAATGGCAGGGAATGGATTGGAGATGTACAACCGAAATCGTCTTCCTTGCTACAACTTAAGGGCTCGTCAACCACCACCTCCACCGTTATCCCTAATTTGATCTCTGTTGATCCAGTTCCACACAAAGACGGCAAGAATCTCTCAATCTCAATTCTCGTATGCATTCCAAGTGAGCCCGGGCCAGAAAATTATCCGCCTTCACTTTAATCCCACTTCGTATAAAGGTTTTAAAGGACGGTTCGAGGACTTATTCACCGTTGAAGCCGGTCCTTTTACTTTGCTAGGTAACTTTAACGCCTCCCTCACTGCTGATGCGCTCGGCGTTGATTCTATCATCAAGGAATTTTGTTTAAATGTACAAGAGAATCAACATTTAGACATAATTTTCTCTCCCGAAAGTATTCGTTCGTTACATACATATGCTTTCATAAATGGCATTGAGATTTTCTCGGTGCCCGAGAATCTTTCTTACTTTGACGGCGGAGATGTTGGGGAGCAACTGGTTGGTGAAAAGTCTGTGTTTTACTTTGATCACAACACTGCACTTGAAATATTCCACCGAATGGAGATTAAGCAAACCTCTGTTCACTCTGCGGGAGATTTAGATGATGACATGTTTCCGAAGTGGGCAACCCGAACTACAAAGAAGAGATATAACAGCACATGGAAGATGCCGGTGGATGTGGGATTCAAGTACATGATCAGGGTTCATTTATCAGAGTCGGGGCTCAAGATCGCAGGAAGTGGCGATCAAATCATTTTTGAAGTCCTTATTAATGAAATGATTGTGCACACTAATATTGACCACCTAGTTAAAGGAAGGAACGAAAATAGCATCATAATCTGGTATAGTGACTACATGGTGGTGGTGAGAGGGAACAAACGGGAAGGAAAACGCGATATCTTGATTTCCTTCAAGTCATATGATGATCTTATAGATGCTCACACGTTTCTTTCACGATTAGAAATATTTAAGTTGAGCAACTCTGATAATAGTCTTGCCAGTCCAAATCCCGTGCCTCCAGCTCGAGATTCACCATCCCAGACGACTGTCCAAACTATATTCTATTTTCTTTGTCAGAGAAACGTAATTTCAATTGTTGTAGTAGCTATAATTTCTTTGGTATGTATCGTTGTTCATAAGTTGCAAGAAATTCAGGAAGCTAATATTACTGAGGAGGGAAACGAACCAAAGCCAAAGCCAGAGCCATCTACTAGGCTGAAAGTATTTGTCGTCGTTTTTCACTAGATGAGATCCATCTAGCCACAAACAAATTCAGCGACACACTACTAATTGGAAGCGGCGGATTTGGTAAAGTCTACAAAGGCCACATTGATGACGAGCAAACTACCGTTGCTATAAAGAGGTTGAAATCAAGCTCCAAGCAAGGGGCACCCGAGTTCTGGGCAGAGATTAAAACTGTTCCCGAGCTCCGACATGTTAACCTAGTTCCTCTAATTGGTTACTGCAATGAGGGAAGTGAAATGATCCTCGTTTATGAATACATGTCCTGTGGAACTCTAGCTGACCACATTTACAATGCAAGGGAAAATGGTAGTACCTCTTCTTCTTCTTTCACGTGGAAGCAACGCCTTGATATATGCATCGGAGTTGGCCGGGGACTCGATTATCTTCATACAGGCAATGGAATCATACATCGGGATGTAAAGACTTCAGATATTCTGCTCGATGAAAATTTCACAGCCAAGGTTTCAGATTTTGGCTTGGCCAAGCTTGAAAACAAAAGCAAGTTACATAGCCATGTTAGCACGGAAGTTAAAGGAACACGTGGTTACCTTGATCCAAATTACTACCACACTAATAAACTACGCAAGGAAAGTGATACTTACGCTTTTGGAGTGGTGTTGTTGGAAGTATTGTGTGGGAGGCCCGCAGTCGATTCGATGGCTGCAGAGAATGAGCAATTACTGACCGTGTGGGCTCGAGATAAGATTAACAAGGGAGAAGTAGATCAAATTGTAGCTACGAATCTGAAGGAGGAGATTTCGCCGAATAGCCTCAAGACATTTGTGAGAGTTGTAGAAAGATGCCTGCTTGATGAACCGAATGAACGACCACCAATGTCTAAAGTTGTGTCGGGCCTTGAGTTGGCTGCTGAACAACAGGAGATAAAACAACCTTTTGAAATAGTAGCAAATATTTCTGATGATGACAACCATATTGTCTTAATAATGATAAAGATGGCCCCATCAACAGTTCAGACAGAGCAGACAACAATTTTCTCTACAGCTGTGCAATATTCCACACCTCCTCCGAACGAACAAACTAATAACAATGTGGTCTTTGCTCAGCTTCCACATAATGACAAAGATGAACCACCAGTTCAGACGGGGCAACCATTATCAGGTATGTACAAATTCGATAATAGTGAAAAAAAAAAACCTTGACTATTCATATCTTGATTTTCAAACTTGTCATGGTCTTATTTTAATGACCTGAAATGTTAAACTAGCAGAGGTTGATGTGAGTACAAGTGCACCTGCCATCAGTGAATCTTGTTCTACATCGAACTTATGCAGACGTTTCTCGTTCGAAGATATCAAAACCATCATCGGCAACTTGAACGAAAATTCCATCATCGGCAACGGAAGATTCTTCAAAGTGTACAAAGGGTTTGAGGGCAACGCCACCACCATGGCCATCAAAAGGCTGAAATTGTCGTCAGGCCTAGGTGACCGCGAGTTCCTGGATAAAATTGACATGGCGTCAAATCTAAGGCACCTCCACTTGGTATCACCGATCGGCTATTGCAACGAGGGCGGTGAGATGATATTAGTCTACGAATACATGGCGCGTGGTAGCTTATTAGACTGTCTCCACAACGAGAATAATAATAAACGATTGAAGTGGAAGCAACGCTTCCAGATTTGCATAGGCGCCGCCAGGGGATTGCAATACCTCAACACCTGTAATGAGTACCACAACATGCATCGCATGGTAAACGCCAGAAACATCCTACTGGATAACGATTGGGTGGCCAAGGTCTCCGTCGCGCCAGGTTATGTCTGGCAAAAATCGAGCGTGGAAAAGTATGACGTGTACTCCTTCGGATTGGTATTGTTCCAAGTGTTATTCACCAAGCCAGAGGAGTCGCCAAATTATAAAAAATGGGTTAAGTCTTGTCGTACAGGGACACTTAAAAAACATATAAGTCATGATCTGTACATTCAAATTGCCTCTGAATGTTTGAGTAAATTCGTTGAGACAGCCCTTGCATGCGAAAATGGAAAGGACAGTGAAAAGCCGACAATGAGTGAAGTCGTTCGGGGACTCGAGTCAGCGATGCAGCTGCAAGAATAGAGAGGTCGCACCAGGTAAATCTCCAATCACATAAGCAATCTTGAGCTCAAAATTCACATAAGACCTACTGCCATAAGGAAAAACATTCTACTTATATCATATTTTAAACTTCGCTTAATTTCATCAACATTAAATGAAATTCTATTGAATTAACAATAGACTAGTATTTCACTTGCCGATAATCTAGAAAAAGTGAAAATATGTTTTAGATAAAATAATCGAACAATAACTTTGAATAATTGATATATAATACGATATGATCCAATTTTTTTTTTTTTTTAAACAATGTTCATTCCATTCCATTTAAGCGGCGAGTTAATAAACTAAATGATAATTTATTTTTATAAAATACGAAAATCGTGATATAAATGTTAAGATGCATTATTTGAACCAAATGATACAATTATCTCATCCAATGAACTCAGACCCTTAACATAAAACTTATTATCAAATTGGTGTTTTACATCACATGCATTGACATGACATATAACTCATCCTAATACTAATCCTAATGTTAATGCTAATATTAATTATAATTCTAATTACAATTCTTATGTTAACATTAATCCTAATCATAATACTAATATTCTAATCTTAATCTTAATCCTAATATGCTAATGCTAATGCTAATATTAATATGCATATGCTAATTCTAATGCTAATTTGTTAATCCTAATTATAATCTTACTCCTAATCCTAATTCTAATGCTAATATAAATCATAATCCTAATAATAATTATAATCATCTTCTCCCAATTATAATACTAATACTAATATTAATATTAATCTATGTCTCTACCTCTACCAACTTTAAAATTGATCACATAAAAATGACTTTGTATTTTTAAATTGAGAGCTCCACGTTTGATGTATTTTTAATCTTTAGATGTAATAATTAGCCTTGTTATATACTCCATCTGTCCTGTATTAGATGTTTTTTTGGTGGTTTTGTGCAAATTAAGAAACTCAATAAATATGCATAGATTATACAAAAAATAACATACTAAATACTAAAATACCATTTTCATTAATTATTTTTCAATTAATTAATTAAGAGTGATAAGGGGCAAAATTGATAGAAATGCAATTAATGCTTTATTGGAACTCTAAAATGACAAATAATTTCGGACAAAAAAACCCTTAAATGACAAATAATATGGGACATATGGAGTACTTAATAATTAGTCTTATTATTTACTTAGGTAATTTTATAAATATTATACTGTAATTCAAACATCAATATTAATAAAAGAATTTATGAAAAAATAAAATTAAGTAATAGACGTGGATGATCAAAACTATTTTAAATTGTGAGGCCAAAGAAAGAAATCAAATATAAGGGTGTATATGTATAATTAGATCGAAGGGAGTAGGGATGGCAACGGGTCGGTTCTGGGCCGGATTTGCCTAAACCCAAGACCCGACCCACGAAAAATATATAAACCCAAGACCCGCCCCAACCCGCTTTAGCTTAGACCCAAACCCGCCCCAACCCAGACCCTAACTAAACGGTTCTGACCCGTCAGACCCGCTAGACCCATTAACATACAAAAAGTTTACTATTTTTTAACTTTCATAACATTTTGCATGTATATTTTTACGAAATAATCTCAATACTAAAATACAATATTTTAAAAAATCTCTACAAGTGTTATAACATGAACAATAAAATTACAAGTAATTATATTTAACTTCGATAATAAGATAATAAGTAAAATTCAAAATGCAAGACAATTAGCGATAAATATTACTCACGAGAAATGAAATTCGAAAAATAAAACAGTGAAAATAGGTAAATGAGAATAGACAAAATGGAAATTGATAGTTTGATAAATGAAATCCGATATATATATATATATATATATATATATATATATATATATATATACGCGTCGGTTCTGGGTCGGTTCCGATAAGACCCGTAACCCGACCCAGAACCATTTAGGCTTTAGCTGACCCAGACCCGCCCCAAACAGGTCGGTTCCGGGTCCAAGGTTAATTTAGTTTACTCAGCATTTGGACGTACAGAGGTAAAAATAGAATTTAAAAAAGTAAATGATCAAATGAATTAACTCTTAGCTACTATCCAAATTCAAGGGAGATGTGCAATTTTCAAATTAGAGGTAGTCTAGCTGTAATTACACTAAATATCAGGGCAACCTGATGTAGTAGATTTGCATTTTCTTTAAGGAAATTGTTGGTAAAATTTGACCAGAGTGATCATAACATACGAGTAACATGAAAAAAAAATACTTAATTGCTTGAAACAATAATTATGCAGATAAATTCAAGATAATGAAAATTATCAACTGTCACAACAAAATAAGAGAAAGTTTAATGTTAGCATTTTTCATGGATGACTTTATATATAACAATTTATTTTAATTATTTTCTTGTGGTTTAATATTCTTATTGATATCAATTTTAGAATAATTTTATTTCATCATACGTTTTGATACATAAGTAGAACATGAAGTTTTGTACTTATTAATTTATTTAAAAATATTTATTTTATAAAATATAGTATGTAACTTTTATTAATTAATAATATGTTATATATTTAGACAAATCATACGTAATCAGGTGCAACGCACGTGGTGCTTGCTAGTACTAATATAAATATTAATGCTAAAAATCTAATATTAATATTAATATGCTAGTACTAATGCACTAATGCTAATGCTAATACTAATGGCAATTCTTATATTAATGTAAATGCTAATAATAATCATAATCCTAATGCTAATGCTAATTCTAATTGATACTAATAATCTAAATCTTAATCATAATGCTAATACTATCATAATTCTAAACATAATTCGAATCCTAATACTAATATTAGTCGTAATGCTAATCCTAATATAATCAAGTCCGCTACTAAAGTGGAAGCCCGCAATTAAGTGCTACTATGTCATAAAATTAGTAACACCTATCCCCCTGTTAATTTTGTAGGGGTGACTAAAAGAGAAAAATACAATTTTATCCTTAAGACAATAAATTAATTTTCTTAAATAACATAATCTAATAAATTTAGTAATATAAAGAACCAAACATATTATTAACTAATTAATAATTAATCAATAAGGACCTAATTCAATTTAATCTAGTCCAATCTAAATCAATATAGTTAAGAAAAACGAGGCTAATAATAATGCTAATTGCAAATACAAAAGCAAATCACAATATACAGATGCTAATCATAATCCTTATACTAACACTAATACTAATATTAACATGCTAATGTTAAAACTAATATTAATTGGATTAGATTGGATTAGATTATATTGGATTAATTTCCTACTGGTTAATGATACGCGTAAAACCTACGTATGAAAAACCGCAAGTGTACAGTATCGCGTTTTGTAGAATAGTGAATTCCAGATATCGATCCACAGGGAATTAAGTTCCTAAATTTACCAAGTACCGTAATTATACTATCCTAAACTTTATCTAGACGATCGAAAGGGTGGGGGATGAAGCTAAAAAGAAAGAAACAATAATAAAAGCAACGGTCCGCCAGTAAAAGCGAGGAATTCCGACGTGTGATGGCTTCTAGGGTAAAATCCACCCATGTACTATCGATAAAGATCTACAAATCCGAATCTAATGTCAATTCTATATTCGCTAACCCAGACACTACAATACCCTAACCCCCGTCTCCAGTGTAGTTAGAGTCTACCCACATGTCCGACGTCTCCGTTCAGAACCTGATATTAAGAGAGCATTTAGGTCAAGTCCTTAAGGGCTACCCGAGGTGCATCACGTCTCCGTTTCCACAACCCGAGCTATGTTTTCCTAAAATCAAACGAGAAATCCTCTCTCGAGTTCATTCCCATTTACAATCAATTCAACTGTTGGCCAAACAATCGAAAGCATTTAATACAGGAAAACATAAACAGAATCAAAGAACGACAAATAGATCACAGATCTGGAAATCAAAATCAATATATACAAGGTTTCATTTCCCGAAAAGAAAATGCTTAGTTCATTACAAACATAGCATCAAAATGAAGAACACGAGAAATCATAAACTAAACGTGAAGAAAAAGCTTATGAAAAACCCGAGTCGAAACCCTCGTCGAAGCTTTCCGCGAAGAACTGGCGAGAACCAAAGAGAAAAACCGAAGAAGAAGTCGAAGAAGCGGTCCTTTCTGTTTTATGACACAAGGGGTTTGTATTTATAGTAGGGCAAATTTTCTTGAGGAAACTTTGCCTTTTTAGATATTTTTTACGCATCCCAAGGCCATATCGCGATATGGGCAGCAATATCGGGCGATATGGTAAAATTGCAAGCTCTCTGTTTCGTTTCTCCCCATATCGCGATATGGAATGGCATATCGCGCGATATGGCAAAAATGCAAGCTCTCTGTTTCGCTTTCTCCCATATCGCGATATGCAAGGTAATATCGCGATATGGTCGCTGCAATAACTTCAAACTCTGTTTTGACCCTTTTGTAGCCCGAATTTGACAATTTTGCATTTCACAAAAGTTGTAGCCCTTGGAGTTGGCTTTCTAAATCCATTTGAATCAGCTCAATCGGAGGTCGTATGAAGAAGTTATGCATAAAATACCGAACGCTGCCACCATCCACTTGATTGCAATTTTTGCTCTTGTTTGACTTGATTCTCGGCTTCGCTTTCAAAATCGTCTCGAATCGGCAAAAATAGCTAACAAAACCTAAAAATATAAATAAAACAAGAAACGCAATAATATATACAAATAAAGCCGAAACTCGGACGAACGAAGACCAAAACTCGAAGTTTTGATAAGCGAAAATCATGCAAAACGAACACTTATCACACCCTCAAACTTAGATCTTTACTCGTCCCGAGTAAATCAAAACGAAACAAATACAAAAAGGAAATAGAAACAACAAATTAAAACTAGGCCACTAACGTAGGGAAACACGATTGCATTTAGCGTATGCAACAAGCCTTTGAACCCCTGGGTACCCCCAAAGGACGAGTTGTGTCTCGTGAGGGTTTTCAGACAACACACCCACAAAGTTGCCGGATTGGTCAAAGCATTGCAATTAATTCCAAAGATAAAACGAGCTTGATAACTTAAAATCTTAGAATGGCATACGGCTTAAGGTATTCGACTTTCCTACCGACGCAATTAGTTGTTTCTACACCAAAATGAAAGATAGACTCAATAATCCCTAATTAAACAATAA